AGAATAAGTTACAAATCTATTGACTTGCGGCAGTTGCGGGTTTGGAGCGTGATCCCACAATTGACATGAAATCCTTATTGGGATCTAAAACAGATGATTCATATTCTGAGATTGATGATTATGACGAGGAAGATATGTAATGTGTTAAATAACTTGTTTCTCTTTCCACTATGCGGAAATGGAAATATAGATAGTGGTATTATGATTTTGGATTCTGGAAGGTAAAGTTTCTTATCATCACTGTTTTATGCATGGTGCTTTCTACTCAGGGATCTAATTTCCTAATAGATGGAGATCTAATTTTCTTACTCATCAGTTTTGCGTTATTGTGGAACTTGCTGCATATGTATTTGTTAAAATAGGAAATATTCTAGATATTATTATGTGATTATATTCTGTATCATCAAGTTAATATTGTGTTTGCATTAGGTCTCTCTATGTACTGGTATATCTATTGAAGGGTAGATACAAGTCCGAACCAAGGAGATTTACACCATAATACAGTATAAATGTTCAGAGTGAAAGATAACATACACTGGTACATAGCAGGATGATAGTTTTTAATACTGTAGTTTGTTGCTGTGCGTAGCATAAGTTAAACAAGTGCTAACTTAGTGATGTCCTTAGTGAGATGTAGGAGCATTCCATCTTACGTTTTGATGCTTCTTTGTCATTGTTATAATGGGTTGTTACCTTGTGCTCATCTATGGAGTGGGTGGTATTTCTGAATTACCTATGAATAATATATAGCATTATTAAAAGCCTTTTGCTGTACACCAATCATCATATCTTGCTAGTGTTTCTTTTTCCTTTGTTTTATAACTCCTAGCTTGCGACAGGGCAACCCAATGAATTATTTTAGTTAGTTCGGTTCTATAACATAATCTTCTATAACATAATCTTCTTAATATCTTTAAGCTGCATAACGTTTAGGGTTATTCTATTTGATGGGGATTTGTTAACTTGATTATGCCTATCAGCACGTCAGAAGTTCATCCTTTTACAGTTGTTTTCTGATTATGGATTGCTATGGAAGTATTCTCAAAGAAAGTATTTATTCGGATTCTAGTTTAACTGACAGAAAGCATTGATTTGTGCTACAGATTACTCCCTCGGTTACAAAATAAAAAAAGGTCACGTTTGGTGGTTTTACTCGGTTAATAAGGAAAATAAAATAGTGGAAAGTTGTGATTAGATGTTATATATATCAAGACATTAAAATAACTTTGAAAATAGTAGATAAATTTTTTTGTAAATAGGAATAGTTTACATTAGGAGTATGCAAGTATAATTGCATGGAAAAAATGTATATGTAAGAGAAATTGGTAAAAGAATAATTATTTAATCTAAGAAATAATTGAATGTAACTATTAAAGGGAAACGCCTAAAATGGAAAACGTAACCCTCTTTCAAGAACAAAGGGTGTAAGATTTATGTATGCATAGGTCCTTGATATTTCCTGCTAACCTGTTCTGATTTTTTGTCATATGAATGGAAGCTAATTATGCCTTCTCTTACTGTCTTTATAAACCTGTAAATGAGACTGACAAGGTTGTGTTATCTTTGGGCATGGACAGATCTATTGACTTATGATATGTGCAGCTTGGATTGTTTGAGTAACAGTTGGCCCCTTCTATATATGGCTGACTGATGATTTTTACTCCCTGATTCCATATTATTTGTTCACCTCTTCTTTTTTTTTTTTAGTCAATGTTATTTGCTGCTTAAGTATTCTATGCACTGCTACTTGTCAATATGACTTTAACCATGCAATCTTAATTAAAAGAGTTTTAAATGGCATTACAATAAATAAGAGCTTAAATGACAATGATTTTGAAAAGGAGAGAATACTCTACCTAAAAAAGCGCACAAGCATGTTCTGGTACTGGTTGTCTTATATCTCTCATCTGCATGCAGGATTTGCCTGCCATGATTGTAGTTGCAGAATGAAATTTCTTCAAATATGTGGTTTCTTTTTACAGCAGATTAACAAAGATGGTTGTTGGGTATCCACAATTGCAAGTACTGAATCTAGATATAACGGAGATGAATTTCGATTACCACCTTGAAAATTTCTAGACCTTTGGATGACTTAGCTGATTTTCCACCTTTCTTCACCTTTGGTTTGGAATCCACAGTAAAGTCAATGCATCAACGTATAGCATTGAAAGGATTGACATGTTTCCTTTCTTGGCTTTTTAATTGCTCAGATGAGGAGTTTGAATGAAGAATGAGTTACAGATCTGTTGACTTGGGGGTATGGAGCGTGGTTCCACATTTGACATGTAATCCTTATTGGGACCTAAAACAGATGATTCATATTCTGAGTTTGATGGTTATAATGAGGAAGATATAAATGTAATGTGCTTTAAGACTATTAACATGTTTCTCTTTCCACGATGCAGGAATGAAAATGTAGATGTTGCTATTATGATATTGGATTCTAGAAGGTAAAGTTTCTAATCATTGCTGTTTTATGAATGGTGCTTTCTACTCGGGGATCTAATTTCCTAATCGAAGGAGATCTAATTTTCTTACTTGCAGTATGCGTTATTGTGGAACTTGCTGCATATGTGTTTGTAAAAATAGGAAATGTTCTAGATATTATTATGCGAATATATTCTGTATTATCTAGTTAATATTGTGTTTGCATTAGGTCTCTCTATGTACTGGTATATCTATTGAAGGGAATACAACTCCTAACTGAGGAAGTTTACATCATAATACAGTATTAATGTTCAGACTTCAGAGTAACGGATAACAGACACTGGTACATAACAGGATGATAGTTTTTACTGTAGTTTGTTGCTGTGTATAGCATAAGTTAAACAAGTGCTAACTTAGTGGTGTTCCTAGTGAAATGTAGGAACATTCCATCTGATGTTCCGGTGCTTCTTTGTCATTGTTATAATGCGTTGTTACCTTGTGCTCATCTTTCGGGTGGGTGGTAGTTCCAAATTACCTATGAATGATATATAGCATTATTAAAAGCCTTTTGTTGTACACCATATCTTGTTAGTGTTTCCTTTTCCTCTACTTAAGTACTCCTAGCCTACGACCCAATGGATTTTTGTAGTTAGTCCGGTTCAATAACATATAACATGATCTATGCCTAAATTTAATTTTCTTAATATCTTTAAGTGCCATAACATCTTGATTTTTTTATTTGTAGGGTATTCGTTAACTTGCTTATGCCTATTAGTATTTCAGAAATTCAGAAGTTCATCCTTATACAGTTGTTTTCTGATTATGGATTGCTATGGAAGTGTTGTCAGAGGAAGTATTTTCCAGATTCTAGCTTAACGTGTCAGGAAGCATTGGTTTGTGCTAAAAATTAAGATTTATGTTTGCATAGGTCCTTGATATTTCCTGCTAACCTGTTCTATTTTTTTGTCATATGAATGGAAGCTAATTATGCCTTCTCTTATTGTCTTTTTAAACCTGTAAATGAGACTGACACAGTTGTGTTATCTTTGGGCATGGGCTGATCTGCTGACTTTTGATATGTGCAGTTTGGATTGTTTGAGTAATAGTTGGCCCTGTATCTATTTGGCTGACTGATGTATTTTACTCCCTGATTCCGTAAAATTTGTTCACCTCGTTTTTCTTTCTTTTTTTGATCAGTGTTATTTGCTGCTGAAGTATTCTATGTACTGCTACTTGTCAATTTTGACTTTACCCGTGCGATATTGCTTAATTGAGTTTTAAATGACATTGCAATAAATGAGAACTCAAATGACAATTATTTGGGAAAGGAGGGAATACTCTATCTAAAAAAGAACACAAGCATGTTTTGGAACTGGTGGTCTTATATCTCTCATCACATGTGCACGATTTGCCTGCAATGATTGTAGTTGAAGAATAGATATTGGCTAATTTGTAAGAAGCCCCCATGCATTGTCCTTCAATCTTATGCAAGAAGTCCAAAAAGCAGTGTACACTGGTACAATGTTGCTTAAGGATCAATTCTACCTCAGGTTTGTAAGCATGATTTCTGCCTTCCAATTAGGTTCTGCTGCTGAACTAATTTAGCCAAATATTAAAAAATATACTTAAATTTATTTTTTTAGAAGCCATAGTTCTTTCACTAGTTGATTCTTTTGGGCTGATTTCTAAATATTGTTTGTTGCTTTTATCGTAGCTGCTTTATCATGTTAAGAAGTGTTAAAACTATTAATTGCTGTCGGTAGTCTCAGGACAACTTTTAATTTTATGTTTGGAGTATACAAATCTAATACGCAAGATTCGAGATTTTGGGGGATGGATGGAAAGAGGTGGGGGGAGGTGGTTTCCTTTTGTAATGAGTGATACATATTGAATGTTCTCACAACTGATTGCATTTGTTGAATGAAATCTATGAAAAAGCATTTGGCATGATACATGAAGTCATAAACGACCTAAACTTCAGAACATGTATTACTCATTGTTACTTTGTGGGATGGCATATTTAGTTACGGTTCTTGAATATTTTCTCATCAGTATAATGTATCCCATTCTGCTAACGAACTTAAATGACTAGGAGCTTTAGGAACTATATGTCATAATACACAACTACACGTACATAAATGAATTATGTGCCAATAGCTTTTACTTGGAAAAAGGGCAGTGTCTTCTGTTATGGATGAGTTATGCTTTTCAAGAATGCTGGAAACTATTGTCTCAATAGGATTAGAGTGTTTGTATGATTGTATCCATCCCAGTTTGAGCCGAGGTAGCTGCTGAGGCTGAAACCATCAGTCTGCTAGTTGACTACAGAGGAATTGGATTAGTTACGTGATATAATGTAATGACTAATGCTATTTCAGGGTATAAATTGTCTAATTTATGGGAGCAGGAAGATGGGATGAGGTATAAAGATGTAGTCAACCTCGTGTTTAAGGTATGTTTATTGTCTATTCCTTACAGGAATTGATGTTCAAGGCTATATACAGCTTCTGAACTGTTTTACTATTGTCACTTTGCCGTGCTTTCTCTATACTAATGATGGTCCTCTCAGTGTTTTTGATATTTAGGGGAGTGTTTGCGCTAAATAGCTGCTGCACAACAATCAACATTATCAACAGTAGGACTTTACAGGATAATCTCACCACGGTCTTCATTGCTGGATTGCTTGCCATTTTATGTAGTCTACCTGAGACCTGAGTCGATCTTTGAAAATTCTGGTTTTGTTTGTAGTTTTGTACTCTCCCCATCCGAATTTATTGTGATATAAACTATTTAAGACATTTATCAAAAGAAAAGATATCATACTTCTTGATATACTACTACATATTTAGCGATGGTTTATGATTTTTCTTTAGTGTGCCTGCAGAGATGAGATAATGCTATATTAAAAGCTTTTTTTTTTTTTTTTTAGCTACTCGAAACTGAGCGTAACTTCGCTCAGTTGAAATATATATAGCTGATGTTGATTTACTATATCCCATAACAAGATAACTAGCAGACCCCAAAGTTAACCCATTCTGAACTTAACTGCAAGACTGCATTCGATCCAATCGGAATAGACCTTACCCAAACCTAAAATGATCAACATAAACATGCATAATATTTTATCATACTTTTGAGCTTTCGATCAACTAATACAAGTATGATTATCAATAAGATTCATACTAAGAATTTCAGATATAATCTGTTCTTTATATGAATTCAACAAAGCAGTAAATATAGTAAGTAAAACATCCAGCACACAAATGTAGCAGAGCAACAAAACATTCTTGTTCTTAGTACTTATTCAACAATGTAGTAAATGAGTAAATTAAAACATCTACACAAATGCAGCAGCTTAACACTAAGCTTAATAAGGAACAGTTTGATGATCAATAGATGGAGTTGCTCTTTCCTTTTCATCTTCGACCTTTGATTGCATCAAAAGCCCAAGGGTTCTCCCTTCGAATCGCTTCCTCTTGTTCGGGTGTATAATCATTTTTGATGTTGTATATCTTCCTGATCTCCTCTGGTGAATTCCCTTGGATCGTCCTAGCTACATATTTGCATGTTACCATTAACAAACTCTTGATATCCATATAGTTCGCAGCCTACATATAATTATCACAATTAGTTGAGTTAATACTCAATCGATTGACCAAGTAAATGTATATAGGATAGCATATTCATTACACAGCTAAACCAAACATTTAATAAATAAAGACAGCCAATTTGGGAAGAAATATTTGCACAAAGATTACTCAAACCTCGATTTCGAAACAAATGCAACATGTTTAATATGAGTGTGTTGTTTCAGTGCTTCTTATGTAATAATATATACTTATCAGCAAAACATATATGAGCCATATATAATGTATTGTTTATTATGTTATTAGATTTTTAAGCTTAGGAATTGATTACGTGATTTTAGACATATATAGTCGAATGTCTATTATGCAACTTTTCATCATTACAATCATTTATACATTCATATCAAGTAGGGGTGAAAGTTCGGTTTTCGGTTTGGTTTTTTGCCCAAACCGAAACCAAACCACCAAATTTCGGTTTCTTGATTTTGCAAACCACACCGCACCACTTTAGCTTTGAAACCGAACCAAACCAAACCACCTAAATTTCGGTTTTCCTAAAAAAAACCAAACCGCACCGAATTTTCCTCTCAAGCATCCTAAACATCACATTTTGCAAAAAAAACCGAACCAAACCACACCAATTAAAATTGAACCAAACCAAACCATACAAACATCCCACCTAAAACCCACCTACCACCCACCCTAACCTACCAAAAAACACCGAAACTACCACCACTAACCACCCACAACAATGCCCACTAACCACCACTAACCACCCATAGAAACTATCACCACTACCACCCACAACAACCACCAAAAACCACCTTATCACCACCCCTAACCCAGATCCGCACCCACCACAACCCACAACCCACCTTATTTCACCACCCTTCATCCTTTCCACCCAAACACTAACCCTAGATCGACCCACAACTACCTATCACCACCGCAATTCAATCTACACGGCTACGCCACCATAAAAATAAAGTAGGAAAAAAAATTCAAATCAAATTAAAATTAAGAAAAAGAGGACATACCTCACATTCCACCGAAAAACCTCGAATTTGGGTTTTAAAGGTCAAGTTCGACCATGAAAACACTAGATCTAGTGTTTTCATGGATGAATTTGACATGAAAAACCTTAGCTACTCAGTTGATGGCTTAATAACGTTGTAAATAAACTTATTCGCTGTGGGCTGGTGGGGAAAAGAGGAGAACAGAGTGATGGAGAAGAGATCAAAGAGGAGAAAGAAAGGACGGAGTTGAGAAGAGGAAAGGAGGGAGAGGAAGAACTAAGATTCTGAGAAGAGAAGAGAGGAGAGAAAGGGCGGAGAGGTGAGATCAGGAGAAGAAGAGGAAAGGAGAGGTGAGAGACTGAGAGTCAGATGAGGAAGTGAGGGATTAGGGTTTTTTTTTTTTCCTTTATATACTTAGGGTAAAAGTGTTGGGCTAGGGGGCTTTTGGGCCTGAAATTTCGGTTCTGTTCGGTTTTGTTCGGTTTTTCGGTTTTTCAATTTCTAAAACCGAAACCAAACCGAAAACCGAAATATTTTTTTTTTCAAAACCAAACCGAACCACTTTCGAAAAAAAAACCGAACCATATTTCTTATTCGGTTCGGTTTTCGGTTTGGTTCGGTTTTAACCCAAATTTGTTTCACCCCTAATATCAAGTGATATCAAAAGCTAAGTTTTGTGAGTGTATATAACTCGATAAATCATAAATGACATACAAATTCACGCACAAAATCTTGAAATGTGACGATCGATGATTTTAATTGTTTTAATCAACTGGTTTGAAACCCAAATTGACAGATTTCTCACATACATACGAAGTCTCCAAATTGCTTATACTATTCATATTCGATTTTAGAAAAGAAAAAAAAAAAAAAAACAACCCATATTGACAAATTTCTCACAATTAAGCCCAAAGACCAAAAACAAAGTTCATAATCATATACCATGCAAAGCAAATATTTCATAAACAGTAAAATTGCATTCCAATAAATTATGAATTCAAGCAAATAAAATCATATATAATAAAATCACATAAACAATTACTTATTACAGGATTCACCAAAAGAATTCAAAACCAATTACTACCTCCGTCCCCGAAAGAACGACCCTTTTGGGTTGATTTCGCGGGTATTAAGAAGTTAAATTGAAAGTGTAAGAGTGTATGGGGAAACTAAGAAAAGTCCATTGAAAAGAGAAATTTACATTGGAATTGCAAAAAATTAGAGAGAGAAAGTAATAAAAGCATATAGAAAAAGCAAAATTTGTATGGGGAAGCTAATTTTGCACAAATATTATTGCAAATTAAAGGGTATTAAAATGCAAATGGGATGAACATTTTGGGACTAAAATTAGGCCATAAGGGTCGAACTTTTGGGGGCGGAGGAAATACATACAACCGGGTGCACGGAAAAGTATATAAAATGAGCAAATAAATATTAAATGAACAAAATACCCCTAGGTGCACCTTACTGGCTTACACCCTAGTTTAAACTCCCTCTGTCCAAGAAAAATTGACATGATCAAACTATACACATATATCGATGCATTAATTTGACCCTTTGCCCTTATGATACTGTAGTCAATTGAAAATTGACTACCATTAGCTTAACTAATTGGTGCAATGTGATTGGCTGAAATTATACACATCAGCATTTACTTTTGATTTAGTTTTTAATGTCAATTTAATTGAAATCATTTTTTTTTATTCTACATACATTTTTTAATTTCACAAATTATATATCGTAATTTCTTAAAATCATTTTAGTTTCCATAATTAATTACTAAAAAATTGATTTAAAAATAAAATCAAAAAATTAAAAAAAAAAGTCTCCAATATTCTTTATCCGAATCAAAATATTTTTTCGAAATTTTGTCGATTCAATTCATCAATTCATTCAATGATTCAATGTTTGTTTTAGATAGATCTAGTTCATTCATCAATTCATTCATATCGTTTCATTTTTTTTTTTTTAATTTTTTATCATTAGAGATTTGTTCTTCAAAATCTCAAGAACAATGGATTTTTAATCCGTGGTTGACGAAGAATAAGTCGTATAGATCTTTGGATATTTCATGGTGGTCGGAGTTACAGAGTTTTGGTCTCAAATAATAATGGTGTTTTTTCAACTGGGCAATCAGAGAAGACCAAATCTTTATAACACTAACCACCATGAAATTTTCAAAGATCTATGTGGCTTACTCTTCGTTAACCAAGGATTAAAATCCATTGTTCTTGAAATTTTTGAAGAAAAAATCTCTAATCATCGAAATTGAAAAAACCGAAACGATATGAATGAATTGATGAACAAAATAGATCAACCGAAACCTTAAATGAATCACTGAACGAATTGATAAATTAAAATGTAAAAATTCGAAAATAATCTTGATTCGATGAAGAACAGTGAAAAACATTTTTTGATTTTAATTTATAATCAAATTATGAATTTCGATAATTAATTATGGAAACTATAATGATTTTTCAGAAATTGAATATTTAATTTGCGAAATTAAAAAATGAGTTTCGGAACTAAAAAAAATGATTTTAAATTAATTTTATCATTAAAAAATAAATCAAAAATAGTGATAATGGGTAAAATTTCAACCAATCATTTTGTTCCACTTAGTTTAATGTATGGTAGTCGTTTTTGAGATCACCGCTATAAAATCATCCATTTTTATAAAATTATATACAAAGTATAAAAAAAAATTATAAGAAAGTTATATAATGAAACTTTATATTGATACATATCTAATAACATATTTCATGATAATATGGGTTATTAAATAATCAAAATTAATATATGAATAGTGAAAAAAAAAAAATCCAACGTGTCAATTATTTTGGGATGGAGAGTATAATAATTTCCAACATAATCAATTCTATTAGTTAAATTTCGGATTTATTAGATTAAAATTTGCACAATTGTATTTCATCTGCAAAATAATTCAAACCTAAAAATATGAAAGATCAACTTATTTTATATATTAGTTCTAAACCCTAAAAAATTAAATCAGACATAAACACAGTCAATTTTTTCCTCACCAAAAAAAATAAAAAAATAATCAATTTAACATTACTAGCCCAAAAAAATTAATCAAAAAACCCAAAGAAACTCAAAAAAAAAAAAATCAAAAAACAAATTTAAAAAAAAAGAAAGAAAAAAAAACTTACAAGCATAAGATCAAAGAAGGTGTCTTGATCAAGTTCATCCAAGAACTTTTCTTCCCACACCTTAATTGGATCATCATCAGCGTCACGATCAGTTCTTTCAGCCTCATAATTCTTGCAGTACTCGATGACCTTACCAAGAGTCTTACCGGTGACATTTGGTAACGGGATAATCTGGCCTTGGATGTCGCCGATTTCCGCTATCATGTGCTTGATTGTTAGAGATTGTAATGCAACATTTTCATCGACATAGTATAACTCCTTATCAGAAGTCTTAAGGACGAACTTCTTGGATGAAGTCGAAGAACAAGCGCAGGAGGATGATGATGCCATTGAAAGGAAAATTGAGAGAGAAAACAAGATGAAATTTGTTGACTGAAAATTTGATTGAAATTTGATGGAGGCTAGGGCAGAAAATGGTCAGATTAGGGCAGTATTTATAGCAAAAATGTAAGATTACGTCATTTTTTTCCTTAATATGTAAGAAATAATTTATCAGCCACCTATTCTATTTTTTTTTTTTTTTTTATTGAGGAAAGTGGCAAAGAGTCACTAGAATTTATTACTGTAATGGTTAAACAAAAATTGGCGGTATTAATTTACGTCAATTATTGATGAATCGGATTACCATAAATCGTTGGTAGTAATTACTTCACTAGGTATTATAAATGTATATATAAAAAACGGCGGTAATTACTTCACTAGATATCTATAATACAGAGTAGATAAACAAAAGTTGGCGGAAATCAATACTATTATTTTAAAACAGGAAGTTGGAAGGACACTTGTCTTCTTCCTGCTTTTTCTGTTTTAAAATAATTTTTTTAATTAAAAAAAAACAATCATACATAATTCCAATCCTATGCCAAAAAAATAAACTCACGCCTATAACTCAGGTTTTTTTTTTCCTAATTTTTATGGGGTCTTCTTCTCCAACTGGCTCCAAAAACTTCCATTATCAACTCATACCATCTGAAAGGACTGAATCTACAACACTAACCCCATCATCAATAATACCATCAACCATTTACATTGGCGTCTTTTGGCTTCTCTCAATCTAACTATATAATGTTTCCATCTTTTCCATCTTTATTAGTATTATTATATGATAGTTATCAATTAAATATATTGAACTTTATCCTGTTTAGACATTCTACGATACATTTGAAGATCAAGGTATATTCATTTTTTTTTTCTATATTATTTTGCTTATTGATTAGTATGGTCGACATATCAATTTTAAAAATTTCAATCATTCAAATTTTAATTGCCTGTTTTGGTTCATGTTTATAGTAATTTCAAGTTTTTAAAGTCATAAATATTTTGGAAGATTCAAATTGTGGTACGAATTCAAATTTATTGAAGAGTTGCAATCTAATTTTTCACTAGGTTATTTTGAAATTATGAACTTTTCCCTATTTTCTAAATTGGAAATCACTTCCTTTCCTTCTTCCCTCTCCATTCTCTTCCACTTCCCTAATTCTGTAATTGATACATTCTAAATTATACTTTGTTGCAGAGCCCTTAAGACGATTGCTTAGTTTCGTATACTAATTGCTATAAATTTCTTATTCAACTGATTTGTCAAAATCAAAGTTAGTTTTTTGTTTTAATTTCGTTATAATGATTTAGTAGAAATATATGGTTGAACGATGTTATTGATGTATAAAAAATTGATTTTGGGGCCATCTGTTAGTATATTATTTTAATGGATGAATTTTGTTTCTGCAGTATTAATCATACTTTAGATGACATTTTATGGTACAAGACTGTATTTGACGATAAAATTGATTTAATTTTTTCACTACTTTGCATGTAGTTGTTGAAGGTTTCATTTTTTTAGTATTTTTGATCACTTTTCAACTAATTTAAATTGCTTTTTTATGTTAATTTTGACTTATACTTTCACTTATAATGCATTGTTTGATTGTTTCTGATAGTCGTGGGTCCATTATGGGTTGCGGTTTTACTTGGTGATTGAATATTGGTATCTCTTTTCTTGCAAAATGCTGAAAATCAATATTGAGGTTTTAAATGAATATTTTGCATGTGAGTTTTTGCACTTAATGTGAGTTTGGAGTATAAAGTTGAAATCCCGTATTATTTTATTAATGTTGTGTGCCAAAAAAAAAATATTCTATTAATGTTTATTTTATTGTCTTTTTTTTAAAAAAAAACAGAATTAATAACTATTATATATAAAGTTTATTTTAAACAAACAAAACTACAATACAAAAAACAGCCGTGCATTCCTGTCAAAAAAAAACAAAAAAAAAAAAAAGGACGTGCATCGCACGAGTTTAAGACTAATTACATCTTAATAACAATGTAACACATAAACATTCCAAACAATCCCTCTCGCATCTATTCATAATCAAATCAAAAACATTCTTTGCCTAGTTTTCGACAACTTAATTAAAAACATTCTTTGCCTTTTCGTAATTGCCTAGGTTTCATTGCCTAGGTTTCCAAAAATTCTTGACGTAAACCAAACAATTAATAAAGCAAAAACATCCTTTGCCTATTCGTAACCAAACAATCCCTCTCGCATCTATTAATTTACCAAACATTAATAATTTTTGGTAACACACAAACATTGTTTGGAATCAAGAATTAATTTACGTCAAGAATGTTTTTGATTTATCAACAAACCCTCAAAAATTGGCGATATTAATTTACGTCAACAATGTTTTAAATTTATCAAAAACATTCCAAACAACGTTTCCCTATAGACAAATCAAAAGCCTTTTTCGACAATTTTTGGTGGCATCGAAAAGAATTTGATTGACGACATTTAAAAACCGCCGGAATATCCAACAGCCGTAAAACCGTTGGAAAACACCGACGGAACACAATATAAAAAAAATATTAAAATTTTCCACCCACTGCCCCCCACCGGCCAATAGCCACTCACAATACCAATTTCAGAAAATAAGCTACGAGAGACAAACAAACTAAGAACTCAAGTAAAGTTTTAAAAATCCAAAAAAAATCAACAAAAAAAGTTCAAATTATTAGAATTTACCAACCTTTACAAAAATCTGAATTATTTTATACCACCCTAAGAGGCAAAAAAAAAAAAAAAAAAAAAAAAAAAAAGTTGTGATGCGGGAGCAATAGTTCAATATGAGTTTTCTTGAAAATTCATGGAGTTTTTAAGAAAGCTTACACTATCTTTTAGTTATTATTAATTATTAGGATTTTTCCTGTGGTTTTTACCTTTCATTTGAAAGGATTTTTTTCTATTTTTAGGCTTTAAGAGTTTTAGTTATTAGGATATTTATTTGTTTAATTTATTTTTGTTAGGATAGATTTAGTACGTAGTTGGTTACAAATATGATTAAGAGATATATTAGGTTAGGATGCTTAATATTATTCTATCTTTATTTTAGGATATAATTATTGGTTTCCTATCTTATTTTGTACGATTTTTCATCCTATAAATATGGGTGCATATCAATACTGACTTAATAATAATAAAGAGAGATTTATTTTGGGAATTAACCCTTTGATCGTTGCTCGTTTGATTGTTAATAAAAAACATCACTTGTTGCGACTCGTGACATCTTCTAGTTGCGACTAGGAAGAGACCCACTATTATTCTTGCGAGAATTAGAGTACTATCCTATTAATTTTAGTGTAATTCTTTAGTTTTTGCTAAAATTCGAAAATTCAATGTTATTATAGCTTGCAAGCCTTTGTGAGTATCTCGAGAGATCCACATCAAGTTGTATTTCACCACTTACTAGGAAATGAAAATTCACTATTTAGCAAATTTTGTCCATGAAAAATTAATTGAAGAATCTAATCTAATATCATTTCATATCATATCACTAATACATAAAATCGGTTTCGCAACCAGGCCACGAGACAGCGACACTTGGCATTCCAGTTTTTCGCCAAGTGTCACGCCACGTTGGCGATAAATAGGCATTATTGTGACACGTATGATGCTAAGTAAGCAATTTTGGATAGATTTTTTAAGATAAAATTGTTGTATAGAGTTTTATTATCGATAGAATTATAATATTTCATATATACAAAACTAATCATATATTTTTATAACTATCCTATAACTCAATTCTATTTCCATCATCAAATTCGTTTTAAAAATTTCTTTAAAATAAGATCCATTTATAATATATTTAATCACAAACTTTTATGGTTAGCTGGTCAAACTATGTCGATCACCAACTATTATAAGAGTTACTTCGTTAATTAGTGTTATAGGGGTTACTTAGTCAGTGTTATCGTGGTTACTCAATCAGTGTTATAGATAGGGGTTATTTAGTCAGTGTTAGAGGTTACTCAGTTAGTATTATAAGGGTTACTCGGTCAGTTTTATAGGGGTTACTTTGTCCGACTAGATGGTGTGGCTAGCTGCATACAATGCAAAATGCATTGTTATTTAATTTATTTTAAAAAAAATAGTAGAGAATAAGTAAAAATAAGTTTTAATATGTAAAAATAATTTTAGTTTTGGTAAAAATACTTTGAGTTCGGTGAAAATAATTTAAGCTCAATATAAGTAATTTCAAGTCAATAATAACATAGATATCTATTTACAAACAAATCTACAAAAAGTATACTTTTAAATAAATATAAGTCATATGATATCGTATGTCTAAATATCTTATATTATCATAACGGATTACATGACCGAATTTAACATTCAAGTAAAAATGTTATCTTAAAATTTTATCAACCATCTGGGCATTATCGCTCGTGCACAAAACTAGTAACTAATATATAAAGCTAAACTTTTATCCAGGTCCCGAAACAGCGACACTTGGAATTCCAACTTTTCGCCAAGTGTCGCGCCATGTAGCTGACAATTAATTATTAATATGACATGTAGGATTTATTTGAATATATTTTTTGTAAAATAGGATAAAAAAGTTATTTTAGAATTATATTTTCATTAAAATTTGAATAGATTTAGTAGGATAAAAAAGTTATTTTAGAGTTTTATTTTCAATAAAACTTTGATTTAGATTTTTATTTTCAATAAAATACCTATATTTATACAAAATGGCGGATCCAGAGTGGTACGAAAGGAAAATATAAAATCAAATAAACCTGTTATTATATATAACCGTTCTCAAGTCTTAACATGCAACCAGCTTTTCCCTAGTTGTTCAGAAAAAATGAAAAGTGATCACAGCTTTAGACAACTGTTCTTTTTAGTTGTACATTATTACTTATAATTTTTATAGATTGTCAAGTGATTATTAATCTATAAAATACCCATAACAAACAAGTATGATTTTCAATTGATTATTAATCCATGAGTAGAAAAATTAAATAACATATAATTCACATATTTTAGATAAAAAGTTTTATTTTAAAATTTAATAAATTAAACAATCTGGACATCGCACAGCGCACAAAACTAGTATATATATAAAGGGGAGTTTTTTCTCAAGATTTTAGAGAGCCACGTAGGATTTTAATTTTTTAAAATTTATTAGAGCACCATGTAGGATTAGTATTTTTAAAGCGTTACGTATAGGATTACGATACGTAGGAATATTATTTTAAAGCGCCACGTAGGAATAAAATTAATGGTTTAAATTTAATACAAAAATAAAATATTATCTTTTAAAATAGAAAATTTTATCTAAGAGAAAAGAAATGATTTATTTTATTTTGTATATATACAAAATACTATTATCCTTAAAAAAGAAATTCAAGTTCAATTGATTTTGTTAAAAAAGGATTAGATAAAAAAATAATGAAATATGAGAAGTGATTATAATAAAATATTTTTTTTAAAAATACTAATAAAGAAATATGAAATCACGTTCAATTATAAAAAAATATTACTTTTCGATTAGATACAAAAAATAAGAAAAAAATCATTGAAACTTAAAATATATCCTCTCTTTTTTTTCCAACAAAAAAATATATTCATCATTTATCATTTACTCGGCTAAAAGATTAAGGTTAAAAGTAATAAAAATTATCATATCTAACAAACCTTATCACCATTTTAAATCCATTATTTTTTCAATCATATATAAACTCATCTGTTCCACACAAATAAACGTAAAACATTTGCAGGAAAAGAAGCATATTATAGAATTTAAACTCCATGAAATTCTTGAATGCGAAACAGTGATCATAATTAAGAAGTCAGGAAATTAATTTTGCAATTCAAGGGGTGGGTTTAATTACGCAACTTATCAACTGGCACGATCAACGATTAATTTACAAAGATTGATGGAAGCCTGGA